TACAAACGAGCTCATGAGGGGCACGGCAGAGGAACTGGCTCCAATTCTCACCAGGATATTTAACGACATACTCAAGTCGGGCGTCATTCCAAATCAGTGGGGAGAGTCCCACATAATTCTCCTGCATAAAAAAGGGCCTAGGGAAGTCTTTGACAATTATAGACCAATTAGTTTGATCTCAAACATCTATAAGGTGTTCGCAAAAGTATTGCTAGAAAGAATTACAAAAACTCTAGACGCAAATCAACCCATAGAGCAGGCAGGCTTCAGAAAAAACTACAGCACAATTGACCACATTCACACTATCAAACAAATATTGGAAAAAAAGTAATGAATACCAAAAACCCGTTTACATAGCTTTTATAGACTATTCAAAAGCATTTGACAGTTTGAAACATAAATACATTTGGTCAGCTTTGAGATGGCAAGGAGTAGATAATACCTATATTGAGATACTCAGAAACATTTATAGCATGAGCAAAAGCCGCATAAAACTGGAATCGAAAGGAGACCTATTTCCCATTAATAGAGGCGTCAGACAAGGCGACCCACTGTCCCCCAAACTGTTTACGGCTGTGCTGGAGGATATCTTCAAAAGACTAGACTGGGATGAATATGGCCTCAACATTAATGGCAGTCTTTTATATCATTTGAGGTTTGCTGACGATATTATCTTGCTGGAAGAAGACCCAAGTAAACTACAAGCAATGGTACAAACTCTAGCCAACAGAAGCAAAGAAGCAGGTCTCGAAATGAACACAATCAAAACAAAACTAATGACCAACTCTACAAAAGTCAACATAGAATTAGATGGAAAAAGACATGAATATGTGCAAGAGTATATGTACTTGGGTCAAGTAATTGCCCCTAGTGACCAAACAACTAAGGAAATTAACAAAAGGATTGCTAGTGTTTGGAAAAAATACTGGTCTCTGAGAGAAATAATGAAAAGTAAAGAGCTAAGCATCTCTATCAAGAAGAAAACATTTAACACCTGTATTCTCCCCTGCATCACATATGGTTGTGAGACGTGGTCCCTCAACCAAAACCACCGGGAGAAACTTGCGAAATGTCAACGAGCAATGGAGAGGAGTATGTTGGGAATAAAAATCAAGGATAGAATTAACAACAAGGAAATAAGAAATAAAACCAAGGTTGCTGACATTTTGACCCGAATCGACCATCTGAAATGGGGCTGGACAGGTCACATGATTCGTTGCAAGACCAATAAATGGAGCAAGCAGGTAACCCTATGGTACCCAAGAGATGGCGTCAGAAAACAGGGCCGCCCAATCAGAAGATGGGAAGACGATATCCGCCTAACCTTGGGACCATACTGGACAAGGGTAGCAGCAGACAGAACCCAATGGAAGCAGTTGGAGGAGGCCTATGCCAAAAGGCACACCGAACTGAGGGACTTACTTTAACTAGTATAGGAACTCAAACACAAATATTATACATATAACCCCAAAGTTCGGAAATAAATGGCTATATTATATTATTATTATCATGGAAAACTTTATTATCATATCATAAAATCAAAAATACACAGATCAGAGATAATCAACTATAAATTGTACTGAGACTAATTTAATAGCTGAGAATAGCAACGGAGTACAACAAGTGCCATGCCAGCGCCAAGACTGCCCTAACGGCGGCATCCCCGTCCTTTTTACACTAGCGAAACAAGTAGCTACACGAGCGCCGCTGCAGGTGCAACGCGCAGGTGCAAGAGTTATTTACAATAATTCAGAGTAGCTGAGGCGTGCACGTGCAACAGGCGCAGGCGCCGTAACGATCATACTGACAAGCGTGCGTCCTCGCACGCGCTCCCATCACAATCTTAGATATCTGTAAACAGGAAAACTATCGTTCGATTATCCTGACAAAAGTCATAAACTTTTATACATTCAACAATACGTTCTGGTACGGTCTATATTGAACTTTCAGGTGTTAATAATCAGCTCTGGTCCGGTCTAAATCGACCCTTCAGGAAATTAGTATTGGACCGGTTCCTTTGAACCCTGCAACACTAATCAGTTTTGGTCCGGCAACATGCCCCTTCAGAACTCTTATTGTTTCTGCTAGTCCGGAATCACTATTCTCTGTAGCCATATCATTGGACCGGCATAAGCCCTACAATGATAGCAAGAACCACTTTTTTTTCTTACTTATTTTTTTTCTTTTTTTCCCAATATTTTTTTCGATTAAGTTTGATAGTAAGACCATTTTTTCTCACTTTTCCTATCTTTTTTCTATTTTTTTTCTCTGCATGAGCAATATAGCTCGATCAAACCACAATAATTCCCCATCACAATCACACAGTAGTGCAACGTGAGGGACGCAATAGCACAATAATACCAAAGTATGAAAACCTACAGCAACACTACAAATACTCTCCTACATTAGAAGAACCACTTCAACGGCGGAACCACCACACTTTCATTCTACAAGTCCCAGTACTCGTTGAAACACCCACAGTGAACTCCACACTGCACAAACGACTGGGCTCCTGATATAACCTCAATTCAATGATACCAGCGTGAATATGACCACTCCTCCAAAATGATGAAACCTCTCTGTATTATAGACTCGCCGACACGGCCATCTCCGACTATCGCACGTCCTCGTGCGGTTGGCAGCAAACCGTTAGCATTCGGTCTATCAGTTATCCCAACCTGCATTATATTGACACTTGTTAAATATGACAACTCTCGACCATCCCCGACTTCATTTAGGTCGTAGACAGTATATCTATACGGGAGCACAAGGCTCTTTCGATCGGTAATTGTTGTAGCGACTTCTACCAATCCCTCGATAGCAAACTCTAATCTTGTCGACTACACAATATTCGGAGTAAGCTGCTACGCTTATCAACACACAATATAAAAGGCCACCTATTATTTTCAATTCATAGCACGTGGAGGTTTATAACAAATCCCGAATAAGTAAATTTTTCACTGAACGTAAACTATAATCTATATTTCATCTAGAAAGCTTCCAACATTTCCTTCGACATTTGACATATTTAGGTACGTTAAGAAATTATGAAAGTACTTGCGGATATTTTTAATGTAAATCGAACAAAAAGATTTAACTTTTGGCTTAAAACTGTTCACATTTACTCTACACTAATATGTTAATGTCGTAATTAGGATAGCAAATTTCATTAAACATTTAAGATAAAAAATGCAATCAACGCGTAGCGTATTATAATCTTTCACAAAGGTAATTACTATTTTACTAATTAAAAATTACATGTGAGCAATAACGGGGACTTTATCCCATGTGAGCGATAACAGGAAATTTATCTCATACAAATTAAACGTGGGCAATAACGGGGACTATCTCATAAAAATTAAATGTGGGCAATAACGGGGACTTTATCCCACTTCTGATGTAGGAAGATATTAAAATCTAGGTTTATTATGGAAACCTTATTATCACCTCATAAAATCATGAAATACACAGATCAGAGATAATCTACTATAAATTGTACTGAGACTAATTTAACAGCTGAGAATAATAATTAATTCTCTTCAAACTAGGTAAGACACATCATTTTGGTTAATTGAGTGGATGGTTGCAAAGTAACTATTAATATCTTTATTATGGATTTCCGCAAAGTAACTCTTGATTCCATCAATAATTAATTAGTTTCCACGAATTAATTATCCAAAGAGTCGAGGTTGAGCTAGTAGCAAGTGTACCGTGCCACGCCAGCGCCAAGACTACCCTAACGGCGGCAGTCCCGTCCTCTTTATACTAGCAAAACAAGTAGCTACACGAGCGCCGCTGCAGGTGCAACGCGCAGGTGTGCTGAGCACGTGTTGTTTACAATAATTCTGACTTACTGAGGCGTGCACGTGCAACAGGTGCGTGCGCCGTCATATATATACATTATTTACTCATAATAAACTGACAATCATAATTATGAGCCTTGTAGCATTAATGATTGATTATATGAAACATATAGACCAATTTAAAGTTGTGATGATTACTGATTACAAAACTTAATTAAGTTCACTAATATCAATCATAAAATTATTCTTCATTAAAAGCATTTGTTTTTTTTACTGGTACACTATTGGCAAAATGTCTGGTATTACTGGTACAATCTGGTCCACCCTAGGCACATTGCGACTTGCCATATTCATTTTTAAATAAAAATAAAGTTAATGGCTATTAAGAAAATCGGAATAAGCTACACAATTATGTGGTAGATAAGGAATACGGTGATTTCTTTTTGCAATGATTGTTGCAATAATTGAGTCACATCATCAATTTTTTTAATGTCGCTTTATTGGTTACTGGTGCACCCACCCTATTTCATTTATGCCTGCATTGAAATATTTTTGTGTTATTGTGTAAAGTCAAACTGAACTAGCAGTACTAGACTACTTGTGTACCTAAATTATTTAGTAGAGTGTAAGATAGCAAGTTGTATAGTAACAACAACCACAGGTCACAGGCCGTATTACAGTTGTGGAAATTTTTTATTTTCGTCATCAGGTATGACAGTGCATGATTAAATTTTTCATATGTGGTAGAGCCACTTTGCAGCTATGGTTGTAGCATTATTGGGTCGGCTCGACAGGTGTAGGACCACGCTCTCACAGAATACCAGCGTAAAATAGCAGCTTAATGCTCCTGTGTTTCATATGGTGAGTGTCGAAAACCTGGGACCTTTTTTACTGGAAACGAGGCATTCTATCTCAGTCCTCAGGGGTTACAACTTACAACGCATCTGCGTTTTGATTCTTAATCGAGAATAAATGTAGATGTCTATGGGCCACAACATCACCTTACCATCAGGTAGGCTGTGTGCTCGTTTTTTACCCTTATTATATGGAAAAAAAATACTTCTCAAAACTTGCCAGCTTAATATGTATGTAAATCAACTTTTACTAAAATAAAAGTTAATATAAAATTACAAGTATGTTCTTCTCTGTTCAATATTCAGCTGAAGTGTAAAATAACTTAAAATATTATTTTTACAGCAGGATATCTTAAGTATGTAAGCTTAGTTATTCTTACAATACAAAATGCAGCTCTTGGTCTTAGTATGAGATATGCACGGACAAGAAATGTTGTTATGTTTTCATCACCAGCAGGTAAAAAAAAATTTGAAGGTCTTTATAAAATATTCTATACTTTTCAGTATTAAATATAATAATGTATTAATTTGTTTTTCAGCTGTTTTAATGGCAGAAATTGTTAAATTATTAATATGTATTGTGCTCGTAATAAAAGAGTCTGGTAATATAAAAAAAGGTTTACAAACAATGTATGCAACAGTTATATTAAATATAAAAGATACTTTAAGAGTTTGTGTGCCATCATTTTTGTATGTAATCCAGAATAATCTGCTTTATGTTTCTGCCTCTAATTTGGACGCTGCAACATATCAGGTACATATATGTTAAAAAAATTAATGCTTTATTCACATAAAATATATTTTCAAGTGATGTGTATGATTTGTTATTTCTTAGTATTTTCAAGCATTTTCTAAGAATTCAGCTCGAATAAAATTCTTTTTAAACCCATAGATTCTTTAGATTTTTATCTTTGTATTCATATTTAAAATCAACATTTTAGGTCACATACCAATTGAAACTTCTTACGACAGCTATTTTTGCTGTTATTGTATTAAAAAGAAAACTTAAAAGATGGCAATGGTTCGCCCTAGGTTTATTGGTTGGAGGGGTGGCACTTGTACAGTTATCATCTGCTGCTAAGGAAGCTAAACCCACAGCAAATTTACAAGAACAATCTAAAGTAATAGGATTTGGAGCAGCGCTATCAGCATGCGTTATTTCCGGATTTGCAGGAATCTATTTTGAAAAAGTCTTGAAGGAGTCTGATATATCAGTAAGTATTAAAATATTAATGAAAATTGCTTTTAAAAAACTGCTTGAGATTTCAAAAACATATTTGCTTTGTTATTGATTTGTTATACACTGTCAACCATGGCAATATTACTTTATTTTTTGGCATTTTTTCAGCTTAATTAATCTTGGAGTTTGTTACGTAAGGTTTTTCTAAATTAAATTTCAACCGAAACATTTGCGTGTAAATCACCTAATGCCCTTTCTTGCCATAAGTACTGCAAAATACTCAAAAAATTCGTAACTATAAAAATAAGTCAATAAGACGTAAAAAAATTCGTTCAGAACTAGTTTCATTTAATGTAGTCTTTTACTGCTAATCATATGAAAATGCTAAAATTCGCTCAGCGAGCTATATAGAGCGGAGTTTTGTCTGTGTGATAAAATACGTAAAAAATAAATCCGAATTAGAACCGTAGTAGCCGACATAGCCCAACGGATCTTTAAGCTGAAGTGACAATGGGCTGGCTACATAGCTTGAAGAACCGGAAACTTTTGGTAAGAAAGGTTCCAGAGTGGTCTTCACGCCATTTATCGGTAAGCAAACTTTAGAGCAGCCCCGACTAGATGGTGTGGTGACCTCATAATAAATTCTAGAAGTATATAAATGCAAGTAAACAACAATTCTCTGCGAAGTACCAAACTACATTCTATTCAGCTTGATGGTGGAGATGTGTCTTTCCTAATCTTTCCTATTAATAATTACTGCTTAAACAATGATAAGTAAATTACGTTAGTAGATACTTAATTTACTTATCATTATTTCCCATCATGCATTAATGCAAAAAGTCAATGAATGCCGGTGACTCAGAATCTTGCTTTGTAGCATTCCTTAAGGGGCAGCCTATGTTCAGCAGCGAACTAGCGGTGGACTGTAATATAATGGTAATCATACAAGTATTGATGACCTTTTAATGAGGTTCATTCATGTGTACCTTAAAAAAATAATGATTAAAAATGTTTGTGTATGCATATGATGTGTAACATCTGACATCTCCTCACCTTGGTAATAAGCATAGAATACTATAATACATACATAATGGAACGGGTGAGTGGGCGGAGCCCACGTAGCCACTAAAATGTTACTATAACTTGTAACACGTCAATTCACACGTATAAATGTCAACACGAGATGTGTTTCGACGTTACAATCGTTTCCAAATTTCGCATGCAAATTATTTAAAAAATGCCAAATTGCACCCTTTTTACAAATAAATATGTATTAAAATTTAAACGATTTTTTTTAATGATGATCTTGAACATTAATCAAACGTCTAAAATGTGTAAATTTATTCAGTCTGTCAACACAGCGATTCTATTGTGTATTATAGTATTCTATGGTAATAAGCAACTTTAACATTATATGAAAACAGCTATTTGTTTTTTTTAAATCAAAATTACCTCAAAATTTATAAAAGCTAAATACTGAAATATTTGGTCGAATAATTATTCTACTACTCACTTGCATTTTTTACAATGATGTGCACTATTTTCTGGTACTTATTATCAACAGTAAGTACATTTATTAATATAGGTTACACATATTAATTAGTTTATATAACAGCACACTTTACTACCACCGTGTGCGCTCATTGGTCAAATCAAATAGTGCGCGCTTCTCCGGCTACCTGTTCACACATCCGTCTCTTATCACGAAATCACTTCTACAGATTGCGGGGGAAAGAAGTTACACATAAAAAATTTAAAGTTGTAATTTTTATGTCGAATTTTTAAATAATTTTATGCCATAGACTCAATGGTCATATTTTTATTGAATCCATTGTTTCAGGTTTGGATGAGGAATGTTCAGCTGAGTTTATTGTCATTACCCTTTGGTGCCATAACATATCTCATTGAAAGTCCTATAAGGGATTTATTAAAAGGTTTCGATGGTTTTGTTTGGTATTTGGTAATACTACAGGCAGCTGGCGGCTTAATTGTAGCAGTTGTAGTCAAATATGCAGACAATATACTTAAGGGTTTTGCAACATCAGTTGCAATTATTATTTCATGTGTTGCTTCAATGTATATTTTTGATTTCCATTTGACTGTACGGTTTGCTCTAGGAACAATTTTAGTTATAAGCTCTATATTTTTGTATGGATATGTTCCTAAAAAGAAAGAAACTCGAAATCCTTTAAGTGTATGATTAAGTTTTGTTTTTTTACCGAATTTGTATTATATTATTTTTACATTTGTAAATATTTCTTATTTGCCAGTATGTTCTTGTACTGAATTAGCTGTACTCTGTTCACTTGGGCATCATTTTTATGTAAACATAAAAACAGTATTTCTCAAACATTTTTTAAATCTCACTCAAATCTCACTAGTACTTGAGCTAAAACTTTGTCTGTGATGTTATAAAAATATAATTAATAAACAATGTACATATATTAACACGAACCAAAATGTTATTACATTATTTAAGATAGTGTATACCTATATTCAACATCATCATTATCATTAATGAAAGAAAAGTTGCCTTTCTCTTTCATTAGTATCGTTTAAATGCGAGACTTAAAGTAGAGTATAGACGAAATCACGTAGGTCATTATATAGTACAAATAATCACATCAAATTTTTTTAAATAGGTATCTATTTTTTTACTTATAATATACCAGTAAATGACTACAATGCTACCTAGCGGTGATGAAGCCTTAGATATGAAGTCGCATTGTGTTAGCGTAACAAAAGCCTACACACTCTTTGTCTTTAAGACGCTAAAATTGTAAGTCAGACGGAAAGACAGACACCGGAAAATTAGTCCACATTTCAAAAGACGAAGCAAAACAAATAAAATAGTTTGAATGCATACGTCGCCCGTTTGGTGTTCGACTGTGCAAAGTGGAAGGAAATTAATGAAAATTAGATCACACATTCTCCGGAATGTATCCTACAGAAGATACATAGATACCGAAAGACTGTCTCTATTATCTTGATGTTAATGCTGTTAGTCTATGCGACTCTTACAGCTTCATCTTGTCACAGGGCTCGCGGCCTGCAAGGCCGCGAGAGACTGTTTACTCTGCGTCTTTGCTCGAGGCAAACAATATTGGTATTAGCTAAATTAAAGTCATCCATAAGCCTTTTAGCACGTCTCTCCAATGATTCCAACGCTGCTAGGTGGCATTTTGCTTTACCAGCCGTTCTATTAAAACTAAACTTCACCTATAAACACTCTTTATGATTTGTTTACATTAAATCTTATGCTAAAGTGTACAGACTACAGTTTCTATTTTGTAATATGAATAATTTTAATGCAATATGATGTGCCGTACTTATTGTACTAATTTATAAGTATTGAAATGAATTATTACTGTTTAATAATGAAATTATCGGATAATGTTTTTAAGTATGTGAAATATAAAGTAGGTTACCTAGCGTATATTATAATAAATATAATGAAAGAAGACCTAGACTATGACATAAAAATTCTGCTAATATTTATGTGACTCATAATATAATAAGAATCATCAATGCTATATAATAAGATTTTTTTATTTATATTGATACTGCAATACATCATTTTTTATATTTGTAAAAATAAATTTTATATATTTGAAAATTTCGATGTAAACTTTACTTCTGATAATCTCCTCTAGAGCTAGTGCTGTGCCGAAATAATTACCTTTTCCCACACGTCCCCGTTACCACAACTACATCCGGACGCCATTTTTCTCATAACGCCTCATGCACATCATGCGTTGTTATGCTGTCGCGTGTCAAAGTTGAGCATTCTGCATTTGTGCACGTGTACTTTGCTAGAGAGAGAGATACAACGGATGTTAGTTTCGCTTAATATCGCATACCAATTTTTTGGCTAGTTTCTAGGCCGGAGCGCAAATATATTCGGTACATTTTGTAAATCACAAATTTATAGTCTGAATTATATAACGATTAAAATATGATTTATTTTAAGTAGAGTCACGCGGCAGCTTTTGCTGGGCCTTTTGGTTGGGCCGGCCCAAAGTGGGGTGGTACCACGACCTCACAGAATACCAGTGTCAAGTAGAAGCTCTGCTTCTGCGTTTCGTCTGGTGAGTGCAGGTGGCCGGAGGCCCAATCCCCCCCATCGACATGGTAGTGGAATTAAATAAGAGACTACCTTCTGATCGAGACGCAGGTGTCCTCTTCGGCTGATACTTCGTATCTCTCCTACCCTGGGTATAAATTGGAACACTCCGTTGTGCCTCGGGCTGGGGTTTGCATACCTATGTGAAAGAGGACATCTATTTGCGAGGCCTCGGCAGTCTTGAAGGTTTCGGACCTGTCCATCCTTTGGCTACGCGTAGACAGCGACGACCATCCACGCGTCTACGGGGCGTATATTGAAAGTATACAAGGACAGCACGCATTCATAGTTTTCTTACACTGTATGTTTTCAGAATGTGTAGCAAATAAAATTTTCAGGAAATATACACGATTTCTGCGTACTAGTCGCGTATACTTTCTAACGCTGATTCAGTAAATTAGTTAAGAGATTATTATACAAGGCTAGAACCGACATGTTCTGACATTGTAGACATTTAGGATGTAAACGCGTAAAAGTGTTAATATGGTATACAATCTCAGAAGTTTACTAAGTAAATGTCATTATATTAAAAAATATGCAACAATTAGTTATAAATTAATCATGTTTTTACGTGGTAGAGCCACGCTGCAGCTTATATTATTATTATGGTTGTAGCATGAATAGGTTGGCTCGACCGGGGAAGGACCACGCTCACACAGAAAACCAGTGTAAAATAGCGGCTTAATGCTGCTGTGTTTCGTATGGTGAGTGTAGAGAACCGGAGACTCGTTTTACTGGGATCGAGCCATTCCATCTTAGTCCACAGGGGTGACAACGTATCTGCATTTTGATTTTTAATCGAATGTAAATGTCTATGAGTCACAGCATCCATTTACCATCAGGTGGACTGTGTGCTCGTTTGTCACTCTTATCCTATAAAAAAGTAGTTATTACTTTATGGCAATTTAAAGGTAACTGTTAAAATAATGTAGTCCTTTGTGAGAGACAAAATTATTTTTATTATAAAAGTAGTATTTTTATTACAAAGATACTTAAATGTTATATATCTTCATAAAATTTCCAATTATCTTCAACAAGAAATACAATTAATTGTCAATTTGACACACACTTTTTTTACAGCATTCATTGTCATAATTAAATATAATTATGTGTATTTTATACATGTAGGATAATAATAAGATAAACCGAATTTTCGGAAAAAATCTATGGTGATCGCGAAAACACAGCTAATTAGATGATTGGTCGAATAATTTCGACAGATTCTAAAACTGAATCAGAACGCCCCGACTCCACGTAGTCTTGTCTGCCCTATCCCTAGAGTGTTTTTATAAATCCGTAGGCGCGGAGGGAGAGCAGCCCCCGGTCACCTCTGCAGCTTCGGCTTACTGGTCACCTTCGGCGACCAGCCTCAGCCGCTACGGCTCGCATGGGTACCTGCAATTTGCTACGCAAGGGCGAAGGGACTGCACTTCCCGCAGCGCCGAAGCTGTTACAGATGTAACTTCAAGGGTCAATATTTGTCAATATATGTTATATAATCTACATAGTACATTTTATTTTATATTTATCACGGAATTGTCAGGCGGAATAGGAAGTAGTTATAAATTTAATTATAATGTTAGCGTTATTTTGTAGAACATACAAATACTATCTACACACATTAATAACATACTTACACTCTATCGCGTTTATGTTCGATTTAGCTTAAAGTTTAAGTGTACCTTATTGGAAAGTATACGCGACAAAAGTGTAATAACCATGTAAAATTTCTAAAAATATAGTTATACTCGTAACAAATTGAAACTATACGAACTATTTGCTTCTCGCCGGACGATCCCAACGTTGTTGCGGATTCTGTCACTGATGTGGTACTTCAGGGTATGGAACTTTTTATTCCTTCCTCTGTGGTGCCCATTGGAGGCAAATCTCAGCCATGGTTTGGTCGCTCCTGTAAAATAGCATCATACTATAAGCAGGAGTGCTACCAAGCCTGGGCTGACGCATCAGCGTTCCGGGATGTAAACACCAGCGCTCTAAAAAAGAAGTATAATTCCGCCTCTAGGTCCTTCAAAAGAGTCATTGCCAAGGCAAAGTTAGAGCACATAGGCAGAATTGGCGAGAAACTAGTCCGCCTTCCTTCTGGAACCCGTGCATTCTGGTCTCTCGCCAAGGCTGTCCAGGGGAATTTTTGTCAGCCATCTTTTCCATCTCTGCACAGGGAGGACGACTCACTGGCCCATACCGCAAAGGAGAAAGCCGATCTTCTAGGCTCTTTCTTTTCGTCCAACTCGACTCTCGATGACGGGGGGAGTACGCCGCCGACCATCCCGCGGTTTGAGTGCTCCATGCCGGAAGTGCAGTTCACACAGCGCTCGGTTCGCAAAGCACTCCTCTCCCTGGACATCCACAAGTCGAGTGGGCCTGACGGAATCCCCCCAATTGTGCTGAGGACGTGTGCTCCAGAGTTGGCACCGGTTTTAACGCGTCTTTTCCGGTACTCCTACTCCCTAGGCGTAGTCCCAAAATCATGGAAGACGGCTTTCGTCCACCCGATCCCTAAAAAAGGCGACCGCTCAGACCCGTCCAACTACCGGCCTATCGCCATCACCTCCTTGTTCTCCAAAACAATGGAGTCCATTGTAAACTGCCAGCTCATGAGGTACCTTGAGGATCACCAGCTGATTAGTGGCCAATACGGTTTTCGCCGTGATCGGTCAGCTGGTGATCTTCTGGTCTACCTAACTCACAGATGGGCGGAGGCCGGAGAGTTCAAGGGGGAGGGCATTGGCCGTTAGTTTGGACATTGCGAAGGCCTTCGATCGGGTTTGGCACAAAGCGCTTCTTTCGAAGCTCCCTTCCTATGGGCTTCCCGAGAAATTGTGCGATTGGATCACCAGCTTTCTTGCAGATCGGAGCATCAAGGTCGTTGTAGACGGTGCAAGCTCCGATTGCAAGCCTATTAATGCTGGTATTCCACAGGGCTGCGTGCTATCGCCAACGCTGTTTCTTCTGCATATCAATGACATGTTGCATACCCGTAACATTCATTGCTATGCAGAATGACAGCACTGGTGATGCTCTTTACACCGGCCGAGCCAATATTTCTCGGGAAAACG